TTGGACGACTGCGGGGGCGGGGCGGGAGGGAAGGACGATGACAATCGACACTCTACTACTCCACTTCACTTGTATCGCCTCCCCCCGCTCGCACTGAAAGTGAAATCATCCCAAGTCTGTCTCACTTTGGCGCAGGTATGGCATCGCCGGTTCCACCAACGTGCAGGGCGAGGAGGTCAAGAAGCTGGACGTCTTGTCCAATGAGCTGTTCATCAACATGCTCAAGTCGTCCTTCACCACCTGCGTGCTGGTCAGCGAGGAGGACGAGCAGGCCATCGTGGTGAGTTTGGGACCAAGAGTCTCAAAAGGTCAATGTTACACAATATTCTATTAATATTCCTACCTTTTTTACCAGGTTGAAAATGAGAGGGCAGGAAAGTACATGGTGACCTTCGACCCTCTTGATGGTTCTTCCAACATAGACTGTCTCGCTTCCATTGGATCCATTTTTGCCATCTACAAGAAGACTGACAACAATTCTGCCCCTAATGTGAATGATGTACTTAAACCAGGAAGGGAAGTTGTGGCTGCTGGCTACTGTTTGTACGGCAGCGCCACCATGATGGTGCTGTCCATAGGCCGAGGAGTCAATGGCTTTATGCTGGATCCGGTAAGTCTTTTTTGCATAAATTTATCTTTGGATCAAGTAGTTTCCAGTTGCAGATCATGAACTAGTGTTTGGTGTTGATTCCAGGCTATTGGAGAGTTTGTTCTCACTGAAAAAAATATGAAGGTACCTCAGAAAGGAAAGATCTACAGCATCAATGAAGGCTATAGTTACTTATGGGATGATGCTATCAAGGAATATGTTCGACAAAAGAAAGATCCCTCTGTAAGTCTCAACTAGAACATCCTATAACAAACAATTCACTTCGCAAAACACTGAGTTCTGATACAATTTCTTACCACTTGCAGTTTGGCAAACCTTATGGTGCTCGTTACGTTGGATCAATGGTTGCTGATGTTCACCGGACTTTGAAATATGGTGGAATCTTTATGTACCCCGCTACAAAGGACGCACCAAAGGGCAAGGTACATTAACAACCTGATATATTCCGTCAACTACCAACTTCTATTCTCTCCTGAGAGAAATAATATTGTATGCTTTCACTTCCAGCTCCGTTTGATGTATGAAGCTATTCCAATGGCCTACTTGGTAGAACAGGCAGGAGGTCTTGCAACAAATGGGCAGAAACCTATTCTTGACATTCAGCCTGAACAAATCCACCAGCGCACTCCTATTTTCTTGGGATCTAAAGATGATGTTCAGGACTTGCTCACTGTTATCAAAAAGCAAGGCAACTAAGTCATTCTTCAAGTAATTGCACTTTCAATTCCAGTACAGAGTTATGACTGTTCTACAAGACTGATGTATGTGATATACGCTTTTAAATTCATTCTTTTGCCATGTTATAATTTGATCAACTCATATGAATTTTATCCTTTTAAATGAGTAAAATAAATCAATCAAATCCCGTTATATAGCATTTGTGAGTTTAACCTATCAAAAGAAAAATGGAGCACCCAATACATGACTATAGACATTTGGGCTGTATCAACTTGACAAGTGCTATCTGACAGCAGACAGTAAATTCTGACGATTTTACCAATTTTACTGTGGAATCATGAAGCATGGAATCTCATTTGTCACAAGTTTATTTACTAAACTAGAAAAATATAAATGTGTTCAAATCAGGAGATGCTGCCTGTCTGACAGGACTTGCTCAAGTTGACACAGCCTCGATGTTAGTCACAATTCTGTCCCTTATGACAAGCGAATGAATTTTGTACATCAATGTGACCGAAGTACATTAGGAAACCTAGAATGTCAGATCCATTTTTAGTAAACAATTGTTCATTGTCAAAGCTAGATATTTTAGGGCAATAGATAGCAAAAATTTAGAGGGAAAACAATACATTATTCCAGTAGCAATCGTATTTTAATTCTTGTCCTCAAAACAATTCATTAAAAGAAAATATTGGACAATAAAATTTCCTGTTTTAACTTCAATAGTGAACTATCAGTCAAATTTAAATCTCACTCATAACTTAAATATGTACAGAATTTAACACAAACATTCACACAAATTAGTTCACTGCAATTGAATTAACTAACTTCTACAACAACCAAATATAATCTGAGAATATTTTTTTCAATACTCATACTGTCAGGTGATAGAACAGGACCATGTGCAAACATTCAGGACCAAATAACTGAAAAATCTTCATGAATATACATGAAATCAATTTTGGGGGAATGTGCAAGTTTATGCTTTTAAAGATGTGAACTGATGGAAGACATCCATGATATGAGAGTCCAAATCTTGGGTGAAGAGCAGGGTTTCAAGTGTAGAACTGTACTTCTGAACTTGTTCATGATGCTGCAAAGAGAAAAGAAAATTAAGTAAACATACAAGGTGGATTTATCACATAAGATTTGATTAGGTAAAAAGACCTTACAGTAAGGAAAACTTGTTGAAGGCGGCCTATGGTCCACTTATACCAAAATGTGTTGAAGTCTTTGTTGTCTGTGTCACATCTAACAAGATGCTCTGATAGGATCATGATGAATCTCTAAAAGTTGTAAAGAACCAAAAAGATTACTATTCACTGCATAATAAGATATTAAATTAGAAGAAAACAATATCAGAAGAGCTGCAGCTGTACCTGGAAAATAATGAGGAAAAGATTTTTTTGGTCTGCCTGGGCTGCTTCCAGCTTCTCTTCCATTCGCTCTACAACTTCCTCAGTAGGCTTGTCCTTGTCATCATGATCTTCTCTTCTCCGCTTACGATCATCTTCACTTTCGCTGTCACTATCATGCCTTCTCATTTTGTCCCTTGCATCAGAGAGTTCTCTCTGCAGTCTAGTGACATGTTTGTTCATTTTCTTGATGGTCAAATGAAGAACTTCCCAAATATATGTCCTGAAACAAAAGTTAGACAATTAAAGAAGAGAAAACTAAGTGGGTATAAAATTACGATGATCAAGATACTAGAACATACTTGGTGAATTCCGATTGCATTTCTCTTGAGAAGATCCAGTTAGCTACAGCAGAGCATTCAATAATTTGAAGCTTCAGCATCTTGTCAATGAGCACACAAATCATTTGTTGATGATTCTGCCACAGTGAGAACAAGTTACGAAGAATGCATATCTGGGCTTCCTCTGATTCGGCCAACGTCTGTAACACAACACATACATTAAAGGCTGTTCCTTAGTAGTTGCAACATCCCCATTACACCGCCGCGCTTTGTTCATCTTACCTTGAACACGAAGTGGAACTTGCCGATGGCGGCAAAGGAGTGCGAGAAGCTCTTGGAGCCCAAGTTGAGGAGCGTCTGGACAAACACGTCGATCTTGAGGGGGTTGAAGCCTCCCTCGCCGTCCGCGTCCGCCTCCTGCCGCGGGTTGGGGAGGTCTTGGAGGACGTTGAGCACCTCCTCGGGAGAGCACTTCTGCCGCACCGCCACCACCAGGGAGTGGGCTGCAGTCGTGCCGGGCAGCGACGCTGTGGACAGCAAACACATCAAATGGTAATTATTATGGGAAGCTCTGAACGTGCACTGCATGTATAGATTTTAAAGTCCAAAATTTTTCCTGGAAAAGTTTAGAAACTTTTCAAGGAAAAATTGTAAAAAGAAATGGAAAAAAATATAACTTCTAAAGGAGATATTAATATTTCTACTTTTAATCATGCAAAATTGTCCAAAAATAATTTTCCGGAAAATTAAAGTTCCTCGCGTGCCTTCTCAAGGCGACTCATAAAGAGCGAGGCCCGGCCTGGCTGTGGCGACAACGAGCTGAGCTTGCCACTCTCTTTCGGATAACAACCTCCCTAGACCTGTGAGCCAGCCTAGTCCGGACACGGGGAGGCGGAGTCGACAACCGAGACAAGACGCATTCGAGACACCTCGTCTCCTCTCTTCGTGTTCACATGGCGAGGAGCGCGCCAGGCAGCACAGCACGCCGCCGTCAGAGAGATGAAAGGGCCTTCCCTTCCCCTGCGCGGCCGCCGCCGCCCCGCCGCTCCCCCGCGCAAGGTCAGGTGGTCACACGGCACCGTCTTTGTAAATGAGCGTCCAGCGTGACGCCTGCCTGCCCGTGCCCCCTGCCCCTCCCCCCCTCCACAGACCACCATGGGCATATAGTAACCATAATCACAAGCAAAACGCGTGGCGCAACGCGGAGGTGGCAATCATGGCGCCGCGGCCGCGAAGAGTGGATCCCGCCCGCCGCGGCCACCGCTCGCTGGAGGCTGCCGCACCGCGCGCCACGGAGAAAGGGGAAAGGGCCCCGCCGCCGCCGCCACCGGCCCGGCCCGGGGAAGGACCACGCGGGACACTCGATCGGGATCAGCAGATCACATTGTGAAGCCCCCCCCCAGTCCCCCAGCCCGGGGCGGAGCCGGCACAACAAGGCCCGCTGGCTGCTGGCTGCGGCTGGCGGAGGAAGAAAGTCGCATCATATACAGTCGCATACTACACACGGGAGCAGGATGGCGGCGGAGCGCGTGGGGTAGGGTAGGGCGGGTAGGGCAGGGCACCCAGTGAGACGGTCACGGCGCGGCGTCGGCGTCTGCGGGCGACACGCGACGTAAGCGGTGACGTAATGACGTCACCACGGACACGCCGGGGAGGCCCGTGACCTAGCCCGCGAGGCCTACCCCGCGGGCGTGATGTGGCGCGTGGCGTGGCACGGCGCGCGCGGGCCGAGCACCCCGCGAGCACCGCACCGCGGGCGGACGGACGGACGGACGCTGTGCCGCGGACCGGGGGCAAAGTGGATCGCTAAGTGGACGCTGCTGCTGCTGGCCCCCCGCGCTATACCCGAGCCCGCCGCGGCACCCCTTCCGACACGTCGATACTGATCTGCCCCGTTTTAACGGCGCTGTCACCCTCACTTTCCTTCCGCGCGGCGATGCGGAGCGATTATTTTCAGCGGGCTAAAAGCTTGCGGCCCTTTTCGGTCGCCCGTCGCCCCCTCCTCCTCCCCCCTGTCACGGGATGGGGCGCCGCCGATAACCACCCGAGAAATAAAAAGGGCTCAGTTCCTCGGAAAATGAAATGAAAATCACACGCAAACGACAGCCTTTTAACGCCGGAAAGCAAGCGCCTTTACACGCGTGCGTGACACGGAATGTCGACGCTGGTGTTCTGTTCGTCGTGAAAACAAGACGGAGCAGCGTTCCTCCGGCACGCGGCCGGACGCTGCACCATGACGTCAAAGCGATGTCTAGCATCAGATTTGCCCCCGCCATTCCCCCTCTGCCCCCCGGCGGGCGACGGAGACAACCACGGCCCCTGTATTACACGCCGGAGGGGGCGAACAATGCCGCCGGTAAGGAGGGGAGAATCAGCTTGCGCAACGTTTGTGCTACGGTTCCCGGCACCTCTTTTGCGTCCCCCCTACCCCCCTTTAGCTGTAAAGTGCACGTCAATTCATCAAAGGGGCAAAAAGGTATAATGAGGTGGCAACGTTCGATGATGGGGATTATCCGGCGAGGGGCGGTCGGGAAAGAAAAGAGACGCAGCCCAGATTTAAATAACGATAAAAAAAACCGCAGGGCGAGAAAGGTAACACAAAATACAACTTCCCGGGTTACGAAATGATACGAGTTTATGCGGTCGCATTCACACGTCCGGGCCTGAGCGAGCAGAACAGACGCGGGCGGCGTGGCGCCCCGGCCGACCCGGCTAGGTTAAACGACCGTGTGAGGCGCTCTCAAAAGACTCACCATCAGGCCACCAGGAAAAACACCGCGACGCCCACCACCACCAACAGGAGAAGCAGCGCGCAGGTCAGGTGTACCCACAGGGCCGGATCAGAATCGGTATCAGCCATGGTGTCGCAAAGAGTCTAAGACGGCGTTTAGGGCGTGTAAACACGACACTCCTTCGGGCTCGATCCGGCCACAACACGCGCGAAAAGAAAGAGGTGGAGCTTTAGCCGGCCCACTCGTGCACTGCGCTCTACCGGCAGAGTTGGGAAAATCGGCAGAGAGCGACCGCCCGCCGCAACCGCGTGCGATCGCCTGCCGCTCGCCAGCGGAGCGCTACTCCACGCCACGCCGCTTCATTGGGCTGACTCGGAAGGCGAGCCTCGATCTCAGCATCCGAATCACACCGAAGGTGCGAGTCGGGTCTGGATCAGCCAATCAGAGCCTACCGCTGCGCGCATCCGCAGACGGCTGCAGGTGACCGCACTGCCGTCGGACGGGGGACAGGCCAGCCGTCCGAAGACTCGGTCGGTTGCGAGCGACAAGCAACCGCACTAGCGAGCGGGGCGGGCGGGCGGGCAGCAGCTCTTTTCCCAACTCTGTCTACCGGACGCTCCCGGCACTGCTGGACCAACCGATGCAGACCTCCGCTAAGAGACAGTCTGGAGAATAGAATAATGGTGCAAGCTCCAAAAGTTTGGGGCTTGTGCTTTTACAGCTTAAAAACGTACACCATCCACGCCCGTGCTTTGGCTTGACCCGGGGCTAGAAACGGACTTAAGGCTCTGGCCGAGAGGCTGGGCGCGAGACTGTTTCCGGTCAAGCAGTAGACACCCTCTCATATTTGGGGGAAGCTAATTTAAGAAAACCGCCGAACCTTTGAGAAAACGACGGACAGGGTGTGAAAGCTCATGATATTAACTGTACCACACCCACCTCGCACACCAAAATTATTGAGGTTGATAAATAATGTTTAGCCTGAGTGAAAATGTGCTGTGGGCGCAGGTGAGGTTAGACGGCCTGCCGCCTCATCTGTCATTTCAATTTTACACTTAATAAACTCAATTCTGGCGTGCGACGTGTTATTGACACAGTAAATGTCACTAACTTTCACTCCCTGCCCACCGTTTTGACACATGAACAACGGTTTTCTTTCATTAACTTCCACCAAATTTGAGCGGGCAGCTTCTGCTCAACCGGAAACGGTCTCGCGCGCCTAGCCCTCGGGCCTGTCCAGATAGCGACGGCCGTAGGCCGTAGCGCCGCAGGCCGTGACGGCCGTACGGCCGCGACGGCGCCACCGGCGGCGCGCGGCGCGATTTTTGAATAACATCTAAAACAACTTGATTTCTTCGACAGTTATCGTCTAATAAACATTTTGCAACGCAGTGCAACGTCAGAACAACTAAATCTGATTACGCAGATAGCACAAAAATCAGGTATTATGCACCAGCGTATACACGCTCGATGAAAAGAGAGGCGTTGGTGACAAGGTTGGGTTAGATTCAACATGAGATCAGAAAATTTGTATTTCTCTACTTGATGACAACTTGCAGAAATTTTCCCCACCTTTTATCACCCCACACTAGCTATGCCTGTGTCGACAAGTTTAAATTTTCGCTAATCATCAAGGAAACTAAGTTGTTTTGGATGTTATTCAAAAACCGCGCCACGCGCGCTGCCAGTGGCGCCGTCACGGCCGTACGGCCGTGACGGCTTACGGCGCTACGGCCTACGGCCGTCGCTATCTGGACAGGCCCCTCGGCCAGCCTATGCAGACTAGCCTACGGTCACACTTTCCCTCAACCTCTTTCGCCTGCAAACTCCTATGCTGCCCGTGTTTTGAAAATTTGGACCTAACAAGGGGACTTAGGCAAATGTAAATTCCCGATCGTGCCCAAACTCGGTATATTTGCTTCTTATCTATGTAGGTGACGAATGCCGAGCAAATTTTTTCCTGAGAGTCATTTGTCGAAACTCCCTATAAAAGCGTATAATTTCGAAAAATACAAATTTCTACTTTTCTACAAATTTTAAGTGGTATTCCGACTCAAAATGAGTGGTTTTGGGGGGGTAGTTCCTCTATCACTTTTCGATTTGAGACCTCCTTCCGTCATTTTTGGCCCAAATTCAACATTTTTTCCATTATTTGCTCCCCTAAAGTACCCCAGAAATTGACTCTCAGGAAAAACTACTACCGCCAGTCGTCATCAATATAGATAAGAAACAAATATACCGAGTTTAGACAAGATCGGGAATTTACACTTGCCTAAGCCTCCTTGTAAGGCGGGTCTCATTGGAGGCCGTTTCCAAACCCTGGCTTGACTTGGACTTCCAACAAGGAGGAAGCAGAGTGGAGCACACTAAAAAGGCACACCAAGAGAGAGAGGTGACCACAGCGGGGGGCAGCGCTTTTTCGGTTCCATTAAAAGGGCAGACGCACTTCGTTTATTAATGCGAGTCGGCCGGCCGAGTGGCGTTTGCCCTTCTCATGTCTACCGGCCTGCATGTGGTGGTCCAGAAGTCCCAGCTTCTTCCCTCAGGGACCGGCGCCCGCCCCGCCCGAGGCCAGCAGCGTGCTGTTGCTGCTGCTGCTGCGCCCGCAAAGCCCGCACCGCGCACCGTTCCCAGGCCTTGCCCTTCCTTTTCCTTCCCTCGGCCGCGATCGTCCCGGCAGGCAGGGCGGGCAGGGAAGACCAGGGACGTCCCCCGCCGCCGCCAGTTCCGCTCCGCACTCGCGCTCACCCACGTGTAATGAGACCGTCGCGTGCGCGCCACAGCGGAGCCGCGACGGGAGGGAAAGGCAAAGGGGTAAAGGCGGCGCGAGGACAGGTGACCTGAGGACAGGAGGGGGCAAGGACAGGCGGGCGCAAGGATAAGCACAAGGACAGGGGGCGAGAGGGCACTCAGTGAGAGGACAGGCGGCGCGAGGACAGGCGGTGCTGAAGGCACTGAGGGCACGGGAGGACACGCCCTGCCGCGAGAGGACAGGCGAGCGCAAGGTGGTGGCGCAAGGTAAGGTAGTGTGAGGACAGACGGTGTAAGGACAGGTGGCGGGAGGATAGGTGGCGCTAGGACACAGGTCAGGCGAAACGCGTGAGGACAGAGGACAGGGGGCTCGAGGACAGGCAGCGGCAGCGCCGCAGCGCCGCAGCGCCGCAGCGCGGACAGGCGGTGGCACGAGGGCAGATGGCGCAGAGGACACGCGGTGCGACGGCGCGGTCATCATCGCAATCACTTTTCCCCGACAGATTCGTTTACCGTCCTGGCCGGCGAGATGGACAGGCAGGGCGGCGCGGGCGGGAGTGCCGCCGTCGCCTCGATGTACTACCCCCCTTCCCTCCCCTCTCTTTCGCGCGCCCCATTTATCCCCCTCCACTCTCACTTTCCTCGCGATGGTTATCGGGGAGAAGAGGCCGGCTGTCCGATGGAGCGAGCATAACATCACAATGGCGGCGCAGGAAGACGGGCAAACAAGGCGTGAAGGCAAACAAGAAAACATACCGCCCCATGCAAAGGCACTTCTTTTTTTTTTTTTGTGCCAAACTTGAGGAAGGCTAGTAGCAACACAACTTATGGGAGCTGCGCACGCGAAAGCGAAAATGAAATATACGTGAGCGCCGTAAAAGAGAGGCGTCATGCCATGCGTGCATCGCTCGTTAGCCGCGCGCTGACCACAGTGACCACCACCGCGCCGTAGCCACAGCAGCGCCGCGGGCCTTCAGAATAAATTTGATTGTGTGACAGCGGCGTCCGGAGAGATGCATGAGAAAGAGACGAGGGGGAGGAGGAGGACATTCTCTCGCCTTGGCGGGCGCGGGCCTCGCGGGCCAGGAAACACTCTCGCGCCGTATACTGCCATGGCGCCTAACCGCACCACCTTCCTACCGGACGCGCACGCCTCGGGCAAAAAAGAAAAAAATGACTTTGTGGACGAAAAGTGATCAATTGGGGCGGAAGGGGGCAGCTACTGCAGTTTTGCGTCTTTTAAAGAGCCCCCGCCAGGGACCTCAAAAATAGCACAGATAGCGGGAAGGAGAGGAGGGCGGCGGTCGACAAGCGGACCGTGCAGGGCACCGCGGGTTGCAAGGAAGGGAGATAGCGCCCCGCCGCGCCCCCGCAGATCTATCAGGCAGTGATGTCACTTCCGGGGGCGGCCGCCGCAGTGGGGCCGGTAGCGCACCGCCGCCGTGCCGTCCGGCCCGCAGGCTGAAGGTAGGCCGCCCGCCCAGCGCGAGCGCAGCGCGGTGGCCTGCCGGCCACTTGGCAGGCGGGCTCCTGGCTAACAAGAGGAGGCCACCGCGACCCGGGCGGCGAACACCACCCAGATGACGGCAATCGCCACGGTGATGACCATCATCCGCGATGACCATCGCCTCGCCGGGCGCCGCCCCCGCGCCGCCGAAGATAGCATTCATTCGGTCAGTCACTGCTCGCTCAATGGGGGCCGGGGCGTCGCAACGAATCCATTGAGCAGAGCAAACGCCACGGCCGGGGCCGGGACGGGGCGCCTGTTGCGAGAGGGTTGTTGTGCAGCAGTAAGTGGCCGTCCTCACATCCTCGTTATGCGGCGCCCGGCGGCCAAACGACGCCAAGGAGCAGCACTACGGCCTACGGCCCTGCCGCCCTCATCACCACTATTCTATTCTCCTTATTTCGCATATAAACCGGCCGAAGGTCGGCGACACCCGGGCCGCGCGCGACCGTCACCGGACGGAAACTTCGCCGCGGGCCACACGGCTGCCGCGCCGCGAGTCACGCAGACATCATCACGCGCTAACTATCTCGTAAAACGGCGACTAGCCAAGATTATCTCTAGGCTATCGTCTACAAGAGCAAAGCATCGAAAAACGAGGAGGGGAGGAGAGCGGGGGACTTTTCCTTCTGGTAGAGACAGTCTTTAGGGGACCTAGCAGAAGCAGCTCCTTAGTTATATACAGGACACCCCCAGCGGGCTGCCGTGGGTCAGGTCTGCTCAGATGACTTATTCCTCTCTAAATTGTGCTTTTCCTTCTTCAGAGAAATGCTAAGTGGTCAAAAGTCCTTCACGCACGACGCGCTGCCCAAGCCCGCTCATTCCGGAGAGGCCACGGCAGCATCCGGTACCGCACCGCGAGACGGCGGCGTCCCTCGCCCCCGCACAGCCTCAGGGGATCGAGACATTCCCACGGACGGGTCGTCTTGTGTTGATTCCGACAGGATTCGCGCGTTTTCGTCGGCGCGTTAAGGTCGCGCGCACCTCTCATATATGCATAATGCTTCGCTGGACCCACGGGCGTGGCGTGGGGGAGGACTGGAGCCTGGAGCAGCCGGAGGACTCTGCCCCCTCCCTCCCGCGCAGCAGCCGCGCCCGGCCCCGCGGCGCCACCGTGCACCACAGTCGACGCCGCGCCGCCGCCCCAAGCACACCGCGCTCCGCGAGGACCGTCCCCCCGCCAAGTGCGTCGAGTGACTGGCGCCAGACCGTCGCGAGTGAAGTGTGTTGGCCAGAGTGACCAGTGCGCGTGTGAACAGAGCGTGTGTGAACAGTGCCCGTCGTGGATACCCGTCGGCAGGATACCCCTGAGGATTAACCGCGACGAAAACAGCAGCAGCCGTGTGGGCCCAGACAACGGCACAGCGCGACCGCGAGCAGCGCGCGCGGCAGGGGCCTGGCGCCCGGAACACATGCAGTCGTGATGGTGACAGACCGGCGACATGCCGAGTCCAGGGGCTGCCCAGGTCCTCATCCTGGTGAGTCCCAAAGGCGGGCGGGCCGAGAGGCGGCACAACTAACAACCCAACCGTCGCACGAGCACGTCAAAGTGCCACGGAATGAGCCTCCAGATCGCCTCATTTACTTTGCCCGCGCTCGTTTTTACCCACACTGACCGGCGGGGCGCGGCGGGGGCGGGGCCGTCGCGTCATGCCCGGCCGGCATTACGGGTGCATTGCGCGCCGCCATGCCCATGCATAATGATGACCAAGCACCGGCGGCCAAGCGGCGGCAGCCAAGCGGCGCCGCTGCGGAGCCCCGCCACCCGGGGGCTCGGGCTTGGGCTCGGCCAGGCCCTTCTTCTCCTCCTTCAGCGGGGTCCGGCAAGAAACACGGGCGGGGCGGGGCGGGGCGCCCAGTCAGCCCCACACAATTAAACCGCCCACTTTCCCTCAATCGTGATCAATCTCGCGCATAATCGAGCAACGACCGACCGACCGACCAGGCGGGCGGGCGGTATTGTCTCCGGTCCGGCGGCGGGGAGGACACCTGTCGCAGCTGCCTCCCGCAGCTGTGCGCGGGGCTGCGCGCAGCTGTCAAGTGCCAGGCGGCGGCGGGGCGGCTGCGCCCCAATCAGATCGCGGCACGGGGCGCCCGGAGAAACTCCATCCACAATATCATCATGTCTATGGGCGTCGGAGAAAGGGGCGCCCGCTGCCGGGGAAGGGCATGGGCATGGCCGCGCGCGCCCCGGGGAGGCGACGCAGCCGGGCACAGCAGCGGGGAGGGGCTAACCGGCGGCACGACGTTACAGGTGGCACTGACGCAGCTCGCCGCGACCCAGTCCACGACGGCGCCCACCCTCAGCCTGCCGTGCTGCTTCGCGTCGGCGCAGAACGCCACCAGCCTCGGGCCCGTCGTCGTGCTCCGCCGTGACGACGAGCAGCCCGCGGCCCTGGTGGTGCCGGCGGCGGCGGCAGCGGCGGCCGGCCCCGCGGACCCCACCTGGGAGGCCACGCTGCGGCGCGCCGCCACGCGCGCCCTCACCTGGGAGGGGCTCACGGACGCGCCCTTCGTCTCCTCGCAGCACAGTAAGCATCTGAAGGCCGAGTATTACCGGAACTACTGACATACCGGGCCTCAACGAACAGAGTTTGACCTAAAGGCTGCCTTTCAAATGTTTTTCTTTGTCCGTAACACCCGCGAGACGGCCATTCCCCGGATAGTTGAAAATTGGCCCGGAAATGGGATGGCCGCTTGTCACGCCTAACAAGGGAACCTTTTCAGGTGTAAATCTCCGATTTCGTTGAAACTTGGAAAATTTGAAGGTTATTTATGTAGAAATCGGATGGCACTTGAAATTTTTCCTAAACCTGACATTTAGTTTTCCCCTATATAAGGTAGGAGTAAGATGTTAGAAAAAAATATTTATTGAAAAATGTAAAAGCAGTGTCGTCAGGGGTAACTCGTCGTAGTAGTGCCCTTTGGGCCAAAATTTTGTCCGTTTTGCTCTATTTTGAACCGTTAAAGCGGTAGAGGGATATTTAGAGCAAAAAACAGTGTCAGGCTTAAGTAAACCCCTAGTAAATGTTAAGTTTAGGAAAAATTTCAAATGCCATCCGACTTCTATTATAACAACCTTTAAATTTTCCGAGTACCAGCGAAATCGGAGATTTACACCTGAAAAGGTTCCCTTGTAAGCCCCGTTGTTTCCCGATGTGCAGGTGCCGAGGTGCTCGCGGCCCTGGACGAGCCGGGGGACATCCGCGTGCTGGCCCGGGGCCTGCTGGTGGCGGACCGAGACGGACGCCCGGTGTTCCGCGAGGTCGACCTTCCCGGCGAGCAGTGCGTCGACTGCCCGACCGACCTCCCGGGGCCCAACGGTAAGCAGAACCGGGCGGAACGGGGCGAACGGAAACGGAAGGGAGCCTGCCCGTGCCTATAGCCCTAGGCCCTCATGACGCTGCACTCTGCTTTCAGGTGAGAGCATCAAGGCCATGTGGAGCGTGCGTCGCATCCGACACAGCGGGCCCAACGCGGATCACCGGCCGTGCTACGAGCTGCAGTTCAGCGTGACGCCCATCGTGCCCGCGCTGGGGCCGCTCAGCAGGTGGGAGCCACCCGGGGCCGCCGGCGCCACCGGCCAGGGGCTGCGGGCGGGGCTGCGCGCCGAGGGCAGGGTGAGCCGGCAGCGGGAGCTGCGCCCCAAGGGCCTCATCCTGAGGGTCAACCCCGTCCCGGACACGGCGCCGCTGCAGCAGCTCGCGGCCAACGCCCTGGCGGCGCAGCAGGCCGCGCCCGCGGCAGCCATCGGCGCCGCGCCGGGCAACAGCCTGCCCCTTCAGCAGCTGGCCGCCAGCGCCCTGGCCGCCAACGCGCTCGCCACGCAGCGCACCGACAGCAGGGGCATGGCGGCCCTGGTCACGCCCGCCGTCGCCGTGCTGGCCAGCGAGACCCGGCCCACCACCTCGCAGCGCGTGCACGAGCACCTGCACCACCACTTCTACATGCGCGGCGGCGTGCCCGTGTACGCGGGCAGCACCGCCGAGACGGAGTACCCCACAGCCACGCCCGGCACCACCCCGGCGTTCAGGCCGTCGCCGCAGTACCACGAGTACTCACAGCCCGATCCGCTCTTCCACCCTCCGGCCGGGTTCGGTACGCACGTCGGGCACGCTGCAGGTGCCGGGCACGCTGCAAGTGCCGGGCACGCTGTACCCGTCGGGCACGCTGTACCCGTCGGGCACGCGTCACCAGTTGGACACGCGTCACCAGTCGGGCACGCGTCACCAGTCGGGCACGGCGCACCAGTCGGGCACGGCGCACCAGTCGGGCACGGCGCACCAGTCGGGCACGCGGGGCACGTCCACTACCCCAACTCCATCAACGAGCAGCTCCCCCCAGCTAGGGACGACGCCGACACGCGGGTGCCCTACGTCTCGGCCAGCAAACACAGCGCCGTCACGCCCGCTGGCACGCCCCTCCCGGCGGCACGCCCCGCCACGCCCGCGGGCACGCCCCTCCCGGCAGCACGCCCCGCCACGCCGCGGCCGCCACAGCGCCACACCACCACCACCATGCGCTTCCCTGTCGAGGCAGAGGGAGGGCCCACCGTCACCATCCTGCCAAGCACGTCCACGTCGATGCTGTCCAGGCCTGCGAACACCCCCACCACCCAGACGCAGGTGTACCGCATCACGGGCGGGTACTCATTCACCACGCCCAACTCGGTCGACGCGACACGACCGTCCAAGCCCTCCAAAGGTCCCTTCAAGACCTCAAAGGGCAGCAAGGGCCACAAATCCAAAGTCCCGCCCCAGAACTACTACGAAATGGGGCGACCCACCAAGGGTTACGTCGCGACTGAGCTCGAGGACCTGACGGAGGCCACAGAGCTGGCGGATCTCAACCCCACCATGGCAACGTCTGGGTCGAAAAGTAACGAGAAGCTCAAAGCATCCGCCACGACTGCCCGGCCCGAAAGCGCCTCCACCGAGTACCTCTCCGATTACCCGGCCGCTACCATCCGGGGCACGACACCCTCCACCAGCACGTCGAGCACCTCCGCCTCCCTCGGGAGGCCGACCCCTCCGAGCCGCATCCCACTCTTCACGCCGCACTACGGAAAGGACTTTGAAATGTCCATCCTGAAGGTCATGACCTCCAGAGTGCCGTCCTACATAGACATTTTCACCGAGAACGGCGTACGCGTCACCACAGAACGACCCGACGTGGAGGACACTACCATGCAGAGCCAGACCAGCCAGTACTCCAACAAGTACGGAAAGCACACAAAGGCTCTCATCACCAGCACGCGACTCTTCAAAGAGAACCCCAACAGGGGCCCGTACTCCTTGGTGAGCAACACCAGCGAGGTGGAGAGCCTGCAGCAACACAAGCTGTCCACCACCCTCCACACAAGACTGCCCCACGGAGACGAGCCCACTTCAACCTCCGCAAACAGGCATAAGCATGTCGAGGCGTCGACCCCCTCAGCTCCACTACAGATCACATTCTTTGTCGCTTCAGAGGACGAGGCGAAACAGCCTTCGGCCAGTACACTTGTGAGTGATCCTTTACGGCAAGATGACACCACAACTTATCAATATACAATTCTTCGCTCAGTTGAACAGAGTATAAATGTCATGAAACATGAAAATGATACAGCTCATGAAGAGTTACGAACCAGTACAGAACCTTCATCAAGCACAAGACGTATTTTTACTGGTAAAGATGAACCAACTGTTCATGCTTACATAGCATCAACAAACAAGATTACAGAAGATAAATTTACTAGCACTCCGGACTCACTGCCACAGCCTCTAGTGAATGGCCATACAAATCACATGAACACAAAAACAAAATATGTGACAGAGAGTTATTCACAACTATTGAAAAATTTATCCCTCAGCTCAGAACCCCCAACAACTAGAAAGCCTTGGAGACCAAGCACAAGAGCAAGACGCCCTTGGAGGCAGAGTAGTAGTTATAAGGACTACTATTTGCAGAAACGTGGACAAAATTATACAACAACAGCATCATCTGTTGATCCAACTTCCATTGTTGAAAGTCGTAAAACTTATTCAGTATCAAGAAGAAGAAGACCAACCCAAGGACAACAGAGTAAAACTTTTTCAAAAAATCAGAAATTCAGCAAAAGGAGGGAACAGTCTGACCACCAGATCAATCAAGGTGAGAGCCTTCATACCAGCCCATCTTCATACATACAAGGATCCCACAGAAATTCAAACCACTTTAGAAAATTCCATCAAACCAATTCAGACCAGTCCACCTTGCTTTGATAAGAAGTACAACTGTATATATTTAGTGTATAAGGAGGCATAGCTTAATTATTTAAATTTTATACCTCTGTCAGTATTGTAAATACATACAAAGCAAGACTGTATAAATCTGTGTGTGACCATCAATAAAATATTTCTTTGAAAATCAGCCATACAATCTATGAAAAGTGAGTGTTGATTATTTTTTTACCTGCATTGTCATGGGTGTATTTGTAGTCTGGTTCCGGTTTAGATGGTAACAATGGCTCATAGATTTCAGGCATTATCTCTTTTATCCTCTGGAAGTAGGACAAACTGAAATAAAAATCAGATAAAAATTAGTACTTATTAAAAAATTGTGAAGATATGAACCAGGAAGAGAAGCATCTCATCAAACTATTTACCGAAGTGCTTTCTGTAAGACTTCTTTAACAAATTTCGGTCTTGGATGCTCCAGATCCAATTGAAGGCAGAAGTCCCAATCATCCCAAGACCAACGGAATTGGAAGTTGCTCAAGTGATACGAAAACCACGCCACAAATCTGTTTGACAAGATATGTTTAAATTAGGCTCTTTCAAAAAATATAAAAAAATAATTCATAATAATTCTCAGATGTACAGAACATCAGCTTACCTATCAAAGCAAGTCACATTCATAGTGTCAATGCGCATGAAGAGAATTTCAGTTGCTTGAGCCAATACCTGAGGCATGGTACTGGGTTGCAGCTTGCACAATTCAATAAGAATTGAGCCATAGCAAATTTCAAGATAACGGGGTGTTGGCATGTGAAATAATTCAGCAAAAATAATTTCCACAATTGAATAATCAAGAGGAATCTTCGACTTGTAAGGGAAGTTTAATAAAGCGGAAGCGCTGCACAGGAAAGTTATACAAAACTTGCAAGTTATCATGATTTAAAATTCAAGAGAAATTATGAAATAGTAAAAATTGAACATCTATCTTACCAGTCTTTCCTTTCCAGGTGGTTAACTTCCAAGATTTGATGTAGATGTTCCTCTATCAAGAATCTCTCAATAGAATGTGCACCAGGTAAAATGGGACCCTAGGAGAGAGAGAGAGAGAGAAGTTAGTGTCACATTTAAACTGCAACCAAAGATTATGATTATGATAATTTTGAGTTATCAATAAGTACCTCTGGGCAGTCAGTGTAGTCAAACATTCGGAAAACAACCCATGGCATTGGGTATTCATAATTTGGATCATGAGGAGGGGGGAGAATAGTAGGCAAATTGTGTTGCAAGGCTTCACAGAGAATGCTGTCAAAAGCCAAATAAGGTCTGGGTATGTGCTTCTCAACCCAGTTATCCTGACGAAGTTTACGGACTTGCGCCCAGAGACAGTCAAGGTACTGGAAAAAAACAGTAATATTAGGAAAAATTAATATTATTCAAATAGGGGCAAAGATGAAGTATTTAAGCACATATCTATAGGTACCTCTTCTTGCGGATGTGGTGTATCTTGAGACCACACTCTTAATGCAGTGTGGTGCTTCTTACTTCTTTTATTTAGGAACACTTCTATTTTGACAAGAAGCATTTCAAGTTGAGATTCTTTCTTTTCATACAGTTCCCGCCCAACCCATGGTAAGGCTGACAGGACGGAATAAACAAACCAATCCTTTCGCACCTGTAATTTGAAAAAAACTTATGAAGAATTTTGGACAACACTCAAAATTTACTAATTATGAAGTAGAACTAAATTTGTGAAAGCTTACATTTGGAACACCTTCTTCTTTGGCAACATCAACCATGAGGTCAAGCAAAGTAATAAGAGAGGTTGCAGCAATGACATGGCAATTGACAAGATCAGCTAGGAACCGAAGAGAGTAACGAGCAGCATTCCAACGACATGTCTTCAAAGAGTCTTTAAAATTCTTTACCATATGTTCAACGAACTGTACAGACAAACATTTAGGTAACCATGATGGAGAATAACAACTTAAAAAACAGATTAATTTAATGCATGGAACTTACCTCTCCTCCAAAATTATAGTTCTTGGCATTAAGAAGACCGACAAGGGTAGTATATATAGTACACTTTTCTGGCATTTTGATAGCACATTCTGTAAGAATGCGAAGAATTTTGGCCTTGAAGCTTGCCAAGTCTGCTTCAAGAACACTGGCCAAACCTTCCAGGTTACTTTCAAGCGAAGCTGTGCTCTACAAGGTAAAAAATAAAATTGGTAGGGTATAACAACAAAAGGGAGATCTAACCTCCGTGATAAAAGAGAAACTTTGGGAAATAATTCAAAGAAGATTTACCTTCTCTCCAACACGAAGGATCAATGATTCTAGACGATCTTCAATTTCTTGATTTTCAGATACCCTCCTCCTTTTCCTGTGAGCACGTTCTGCAAAATGCAAGAAGAACATAAAAGTCACAGACTATTTTAATTCAAAGTAATCATGACTCAGTTAAGATAATAAAGAAAGATACTACTGCTCTGTAGAGAGGACATAAGACCAACAAATTGGAAATTTGAATTATAAAACTATGGAAATAGTAGATTGAAGGGGAATTAATCAGTGTCAAAAAGACATCAATTTTACGGGGAGATGCGCGAATATATTGACCTTTCTCTGTCAAAATAAATTAATCATAGTTGATTGTAAGCAAAACATTAAGAAAAGGGAAAAGTGTCAAATGAAACGACCATAACCTACACATGTAACAAACGAACAGGGTTTAACCCCGTATATTACGTACCGTATCCATCGTCATCATCATGAGGCCTTCTCCGACTCATTTTTTAGGGAATTGATTAGGTAGCCGGTATATAAAATGCCCCTAAAATGCACAGAAATAAGACAAAGCCGGACAAGATATTCTATTCGACAACTCTTGCCGACAGACAGAAACAACGCCGCCTCGATCCGCTTTCGATCGGGAGAGTCTGGAAGAAGCGGCGGGCGGTGCGAGGCTACGAGAACGAATGGAGCGCTCGGGAGATTTGGGACAAAAGTCCCGCTTCAGATTAGCAGATACAGATTTCACCGAATCATTTTTACGCCCTTGCTTACTTATTTTCGTGATGCAAATCTGAATGATTAGCAAAACACAGACTCTTCTGTGTAGTAAGGCATCAAACGCCAATTCCAGCCCACGAAAGGAGTGCCCACTGGGTACTGGGAGGTCAACCGGCATAGGGAAATCCAGTTGGTAGAAGCGCGATTCTACCATGACATCCATGACATACTGGATCTATATTTTGACATTTTGGTTTAATGAGGTTACTCTTTCTTTCTATCACTCCTACTTGATCCTACGCGGGTTCTTTCAACATTTCTGCGTAACGCGAATTTTGCGAAACATTGTTTGTGCGGGCAGCGGCGCGGCAGCCATGACGACGAGCAAAGCAGGTCAGGAGGAGGTGAGCCCGGCGCGGGGCCGCGTCCGCATCGGGCACAGTGGTGTAGTGCCCTCCGCTCTCCATCTCGCAGCGGGCGGTGGAGGGTCGGGAGCAGGTTGAGGGCGCGGGGCGCGGGTCGAACGCAGCCCGACCGCTCCGCTTGAAGGGGTCAGTCAGGCGCGGCGCGGGCCGTGCAAGACACCATGCCCGTCCTCTGCGGCGAGAAGCTGGTCCGGAACCAGGGGCCCTTCCCTTACATCCAGTCCGAGGGGCGGTGGAAGCCTCTGCGCGACACGCGCACGCCGCACGTGCCGGTAGGTCAGCACGGGGGACTTGGGCTCGACCGGGCCCGTCGCGTACGGTGCCCATCCTCCTCCACAGTGCCTTCGGAGGCGCCGATAGCGACATTGACCGAAGTCGTTCAGTGACTCCTTTCTTGTCTCCCAGCCGCCCGCTCCGGAGGGTCCGTGCCCGCCTCCACCCGATGTCGACCAGGTGCAGGCCCTGCTCCGCCACCAGGAGTACATGCGGCTGCAGGGGTCGCAGGCACGGCGGGCTGAGAGAGAGGGAGGGGGTGGAAACGTGAGTGTAGAGTGCCACAACAACACCTTGTCAAGCCAGGCCGCCCTTGCTCGGTGCTATACTGCTCCACTGGCCTATAACGAACGGTACGTTTGGCAGTGCGAGCACGGCGACCCGCTGCCCGTCGGCCAGCACATCGTGGACCCGCTGGCCTCCCCGCGCTGGGCAGAGTGCCTCAACCCCTGGGAGCGCCTCAACATGCACCACACCCTGGCCAGCGTGCGCCGCCACGCGCAGCTCGAACGCTCCTACGAGCCCCGGGACCAGCTGGACTTTGCTCTGACGGCGGCCTACCAGGTTGGTGCTCGTGCGAGACGCAGCCCCCCCCCCCCCCCTGGGAGCCCGCTACCCCATAGCAAACCGCCAGTTCGAGTCCAGGGAAGTCCCAGCAGGGCTCAAACCTGTTGTGGTCTGTGGTCGTTGCAGCACGACGCGGGGCTGTGGGCGGGCTGCCCGGACGTGTGTGTCCAGCCGGAGACCCTGGGCCAGCCGACCTGGCGCGTGCTCCGCAACCTGAGGGTGCTGCCACAGGACCCCGTCGACCAGCGGCAGCACCCACTGCGCCAGAGCGGCGTGGACTCCCGGGTGTCCGTCCACAGCGTGAAGCTAGCCATCAGCGGCAACCACATGTCACAGACCAATGCCGGGTTCTCGAGGAAAGTGGACGGGACCTTCTATAGCTAAAACTATTTCCTTTCTCTGCGATGGAATTTTTACTTAACAATAAAGTTTTGGCATTCATTTAAAAATTGCGTGTTAATTTCATATCCTAACTACACAAATTTGCACAATTTTCATCATTTTAAAATTGGATCTTTATTACACAATTTTAAATTTTCGCGCGACGGATCTCACTTTAAATGATGCTACTGAGGGCGCCTTTTCAATGACATCCGGTTTCGTCTCGCTTAAGTTTCGTCTTGCATTAGGTTAGATTGCGTTTGTACAACGTTTTGTGTTTATGCTGCAATAAACGTTTGATAAGTTTATCAAGAAACATCAGAAACATCTACGATAGTCAAAGTACGCTACCCTGTAATTTTTTTGAAGTTGTTTGATCAATATCCCTTTGTAACAGCACAGACTCCAAGACATGAACCTTTAACCTAAAAACAGCGGCTATTTTGTGTGTTTTGAATTTTGATTTGTACTGTCAACAAACTTATATTCTATCTCTTTCTGCACATTTTGTCTTCTATTTTAATTTTATTGAGTAGTAAAAGTTGTTGACGTATTTTTCTATCATTTCTAAAATTAAATTGAGGTTATATGAACTATGATATATTTCAAATTCATTGATGTACTTATTTTTCTGCTGTGCAACACTTAGTATTCACTTCGTTTCTTTTTTCCAGAACTGCTTAAACATGACAACTTACCTATCAAGAAAAGATGTTGAAGAAATCAAACCCCAAGTTGACAAAACAGTTGAGAAGTTCCTCGGTTTTCACGAACCTACATTGGTGACAACCGCCCTGAATTGTTTATCTTCCGGATATGATAAACAGAAAACCACTGGTTTGTTTCCTCATTATCTTTCCCATTTAGACTAATATCCTGCTCTTATTTGTTTTCACACATATACACTGCAACTGCTATCTATTTTGCAGATAAACTTGCTGCTTTACTGGACTCTCGAAAGGCTAAGGGTCTCACTGAAAAAATATTTTCTATTGCTGAAGACTTAAGAGCTCTTCATAAATCTCGCAGTGACAGAAAGCGCCACCATGATGATAAAGAAGACAGGGATTCAAAAAAGGCTAAAAAGGAGAAAACTTCAGAAGGGGACTCAAAAAATAATGTGCCTGAAGCTCAGCCGGACTCAGAGGCTCAGCCGAGTCCGGGACAACTCTCAGCACTTCAGGTCAGTGATTGAAATTTAAAATATTGAAATAATTTAAGTCAAAGCAAGACTTTTGTAAACCACATTTTATTTTTGTTATTGTTCTTGTTTCTAGATCAAAGAGATGATGGCAAATGCACAGAGAATGATTGAGCAAAGGAAGAAGGCCCTAAATGCATTGAAAGGGGATGATAAGCCTGCTATACCTCCACCAACAATTGCTGTTCCTCCTGTAAAATCAGCTGCCGATTTAGACAAAGCACGAAAGATTGCGCAATTGCAGGCATGTATCATTATGACTATAGATTTACTGATTCCTTCAGGTTAATTACTCCTATGAATGTCATAGCTACATGTGTGTAATAAACATATAAATTTCATTTTCAGGCCCAAATTCAATCAAAATTGTCAACTGGTGTTTTACCTGGGGTGCTAAGTGGTATTAGCTCAACTTTGAATGCAACCCCTTTCAACAGCTTAATACCACCTCGTCAAAGTCAACAAGAAAAACCAGTACCTTTAATTTTAGACAGTGAAGGACGCACTGTCGACAGTTCTGGTAAAGAAGTTCAGCTCACTCATCTTGTACCTTCGCTAAAGGTGAATATTTATAATCATTCTTTTTTTTTTTGGTAAAACGTTTCTATCTTCCTATTAAGTTGATGAGTGTTTTATTGTTCTGTTAATTTGATTTTTAGGCCAACATTCGAGCCAAAAAGAGGGAAGAATTCAGGCAACAATTACAAGAGAAACCTGTTGAAGAATTATCTGAAACACACTTTTATGATGCTAGGATTGGTATAAAACCATCTGTGCGTAATAAAAGAGCATTGAAATTCCATGAACCGGGAAAATTCCAGCAATTAGCTGATAGGATGAGAATGAAGGTATGTTAGGTATTTTGCCAAAGTCATGTTTAAATAACTTGCCATTATTAGGAAAATTGAAAGTAAAGCTCCTGTTTCATGTCTTTAGGCTCAACTTGAAAAACTTCAAAGTGAAATCTCCCAAATTGCCAAGAAAACAGGAATATCTTCTGCTACCAAATTAGCTCAAATTGCCCCTAAGGAACAGGCTGAAGAACATGTTCCGAATGTAGAGTGGTGGGATTCAGTCATTCTATTAAAGAGAGATGGGTGAGTTACACCTTAAATAATTAGCATTATTGTACGTGATGTTAAGCAAATTATTTTGAACTGCTTTTTCACATTTTTCTTTTTCTAGCTATAAAGCTGATGAATCTGGAATCATTCCCATCAAAGAGCAGGGAATTACAAATCTTGTAGAACACCCTATTCAAATGCGTCCCCCAAGTAAGTGATCAAATTTTCAATGCAGGTTCTTTTAAACAAATATGTAACTAACCAATTGAGAATTAAAATTTGTATCTTGTTGCAGCGGATCCACTTAAACCCATCTATATGCCTGTTTTCTTAACTAAGAAAGAGCGCAAGAAACTGAGAAGACAAAATCGTAGGGAGGCTTGGAAGGAAGAGCAAGAAAAAATAAGACTGGGATTGGAAGCCCCTCCAGAACCAAAGGTAAATATTGTCCTAAAATATCCAGCTGGCATAGAGCTTGTTGTGAGATAAGGTTATAACTTAATACTAATACTTTTGTTTGCTTCCTTCTTTATAGCTTAGGATATCCAATTTAATGAGAGTACTGGGAACAGAAGCCATTCAGGATCCAACGAAAATTGAGGCACATGTGAAGGAACAAATGCTGAAGCGTCAAAAAGCTCACGAAGAAGCTAATGCTGCTCGCAAACTCACTGTTGAGGAGCGGAAGGAAAAGAAAATGCGCAAACTTAAGGAGGACACATCTCTTGGCGTCCATGTGTCCGTGTTCAGGTCAGTATAGCTATTGCTTTGTCTCGGTATTAGCTGAACTAGAAGAATCTATCTATTTGTTCAAAACTAACTTTGTGTTGTTATTGTTTGCTTATTGCAGGGTAAATGATCTTATGAACCCAGCCAAGAAATTTAAGGTTGAAACAAATGCTAAGCAGTTGTTTATGACTGGCTGTGTGGTTCTCTTTAAGGATTGCAATGTTATTGTTGTTGAAGGTGGTCCAAAGCAGCAAAGCAAATATAAAAGGTAACGATTTTCAGTTCAATTTCTTTTAATGTGCAGCAAGTTAAATTTTTCTTGACTTTACTTATTTTTTTGCCCTTTCAGATTGATGCTAAATCGAATTAAGTGGGAGGAAGATATAGTTAAAGATGCAAGTGGAAATGAAAACCCCAATAAATGTGTTTTGGTGTGGGAGGTAAGTAGCAGTCAATTCTTAAGTCATTAAGGTTCAAAAATGTGTGCAATTAAATAAATACTTTTGATCTATCTTTCAGGGCACAGCAAAATCTAGGACATTTGGTGAGATGAAGTTCAAAATTTGTCCTACTGAAAAGGTAGCTCGTGAACATTTTAAGAAAAGTAATGTTGAGCAGTATTGGGACCTATCCTATAGTGGGGCTGTGCTTGAAGCCACTGCTGATGCTTAAATGTTCACTTGTTAGCTTTGTAATATATTGTAATATCTGTAAATAGTGGAATTTTTCATTCTATATTAAGTTAGAATAAAACCTAATTTTTCAGAAACTCAACACCTGTGAGTTTTATTTGACGATCTAAAAACTGTGACTCTTCTCTCTTACATATTCTGTTTTGGAGTAGAGGGGTAGTAAAAATGGCAGACTTACATACAAGGAGGGTTCTTTATTTTTTATCATTATTGCATTTTAGTATTTCCTGACCAGCAGGGAATTGCATTTGATGAAAATGCTATCACACCACTATTATATACTGTGGTATTGCATTAATTAAGTCAGGAGTGAGCAAGTTCATTTTTATAAGTAATTGGAGCACAAAAGGAAAACATCTTTGTCTTGAGCTCTTCACTTCAGGATGTCAATATTTACTATGACTTCAGACCAACATCTAGTTATTTCAAATTTCATTTTGTTCCTATATACTTCTCAAGACTGTAATTCTTCAGCATACATAATACAAAAAAAGTTGTACCTAGGGTATGGTGATGTGACTGGAGTGTAATGACCTCCATTTATGTATTATTTTTAAGACTGTCTATGGATAAAGCTGTGTAGCCACAGCTGAATACAAGGAAATAGCTCATACAAGGGAAGATGGCTTGGCCAGAACATTTTCCCCTACTGAACTTTTGTATCAGCTTCTTAGTGATGAAATAATTTTCCCAACAAGATTAGTGAATGCTGACAAATTAAGCCATGATAACAAAAATTAAATATCTAGGGTTTACACCAATAACAGAGTTTGGGAATTGAACAAACGTTGATCATCCTTATTATTATAATAGTGCTACTCGCTCAAATAACAATTATATACCCAAATCTGGAAACTAGCATTAAAAGTTTTCTTGAGTAAAGGATCAGGTATGTTGGCACCTTTTGATACTAGCAACTAAATGGTCCTCACGTTTATAATCATAAGGATGATCGAACAGTACAATAACAGTAATATTTACACCCTCAAATCATCAAATTATAATTAGAGCAAACAAACAAAACATTGCTTTCTAGCCAGTAAGTTAACCCTGATTTCTACAGAACTTTCCATTATAAAAGCACATCAACCACACACAAATTGTTATGAGTAGGCAACTCATTTCTACATAGATACACATTTACAACCATGCAAAGTTGCCTCTGCTATTGGCTTTGGCTTTTACAATACTTAAAATTTAACAGATTTCACAACTTTCTCAAAAGTATAAAACTTTAAAAGGAACAAGGATATTATCTAAGAGAATACCCCTGTACTCTCTCGACCTTTATCAAACATTTATTTGTCAGCTGTTGACAGTCTTAGCACCTTTCTGTCACGGCGACACTGATGAGGAAGCAAGTCTCTGGAATGTGTCTTGCAATTTGTTTTATGAAACAGTCTTATTTGACATGTCAGCTATTCGATAGAACTTCGAGGGTCCGTTAAAATAAATGAAAAGTTCATTCCTTTCTGTGACAGAAAATCCTTGCGGAATGCATTCTTCAGTCAGAAAGTAACGAATACTTTGAGTGAGCACTTTTATAGTACTAGGAATCTACACACCACTCCCGACAACACACAAGTTCGGGCAGGGGACAGCGACGCTCGCACTGGAGCGCACACCGTGTTCTCCCTGGCGATTCCCGACTACTTTCATTAAAAACATTCGGCAGCATCAGCCAGTCTTCATCACTCACACTGGCAGCAGCAGCTTCCGGTCTGAACCGTTAGTTCCGCAAATGGGCTCGAGGGGGTACTCGAGGAGGGGGCCGAGCGGCCCTCCGACTCATCCAGGCACCTCGCGGAGCGGCGCTCTGGGCGGTCGCGTCACGAGATGTCCAGCACACCGCTGGGGACGCTGCCGTTCGGCCGGGCCGCCCCGCACAGCGTGGTGGGCCGGTGGTGGTGGTGGTGGTGCTGGTGGTTGTGGTGGCGGTGGTGGTACGTGTGCGTGAGGTGCTGCGGTGGCACTATCCGCGGCGGCAGCCCCGTCAGGCTGGTCGCCGACAGCGTCCTCTCCAGCCCGGACATGCCGAGCCCGGTGCCCCCGGTGCCGCCCCCGCCCCACAGCTTGCCGCACTCCAGTGTCTCGAGGTCCGGGTGCGACGTGGAGGCCAAGGGCCTCGTCGTGGTCCTCGGGGGCGGCATGGGCGGCCTAGCCTGGAGGCGGGGCGGGGGTGGCACGGCCAACCGGGCGATGCTGCTGTTGAGGCTGCCGCCCCCGCTGCTGCTGCCCCCGCTCAGGCTGCCGCCCCCGGGACCTCCACCGGCGCCGCCCCCGGCGCTACCGTTGCCGTCGTCGCTCGTGTCATCCTGGAGATCGTCGTCTCGATCCCGGTCCCGCTTCCGATCTCGATCCCGTTCACGGTCCCAGTCGCGGTCCAGGAGATCGAGGTCTCTGTCCCGCTCTCTGTCCCGCAGACTGTGGTGCAAACTGGCGTGGCTGTGGTGACTATGGTGACTGTGGTGGCTGTGGTGACTGTGGTGGCTGTGGTGGCCTCCCAGGCTCTGCTGACTCGAGCAGCAGTGGGACTCTTTCGCCGCAGACGGCGGCCTCCGACACAGAACCTGCACCAATACAACATAAAATCAGCGAAAGAAATTTACAAGAGCGATTTCGCACCCAACCAAGAGGCACGGCTGAGGAATCTACCTTGGTGACGAAGATGTCCTTGCAGATTCTCCGGAATTGCCGATTGAGCAGCCAGTACAGGAAGGGGTTCCAGAAGGAGTTGCTAAGCGCCAACCACGTGATGAGGAAGTCGAGGAACGGCGGAAGCTGCAACGAGGAGAGCAGAGCGTGAGTGTGGGAGGGAGAGAAATGAAAGAAAAACAGACGAGCTGCGCCATGCGGGGATGGGGGGGGGGGGGGGGGGGGGGGGGGGGGGGGGGGGGGGGGCCGCCCCCCCCCCCCCCCACGGCCCCGCGCGGTGGGGGGGGGGGGTGAAGGGCGCACGGGTCGGCGCCCGACCTCGCGGGGCTAGGCCGACCCGCAGGGCGCGGGCGTCCCGCGGGAGGCCTACCCCGACACCCGCGGGCGCTCCGAGTCGGGAGCTGGCGCTGGCTGTGCGCTGATGCTGGCGCTGGCCTCACCTTGACGCCCGTGCAGGCGGCCACCACCTCCTGGATGGTCCACGGTGTCACCATCACAATGAAGCCGAGCGACATGGCTGCCATGGTGCGCGACGCCACGGTGCTCAGCCTGCGCTCGTGGGTCACCAGCTGAAAAAAAAGAACAAAAAAATAATACAGATTACTTCCTTTTGCTCCCGATCCATACTTCTTTGGTGTCTCACGCGCGAGGGGGAAAGAAGGCAGGGGGGAGGGGGCCGGATCAGTTCGGGTCGGGGATGGGAAGGAACTAGCCGAGGCTAGCTGGATGGAAATGCTAACCCTCCCCTCCTCCTCCTACCATGCCTTGGCCTGGAGTAACGCCATGCCTCTGACAGTTCGCCATTTGTAACCGAGCTTCTTGGCACCCCTCCTCTCCCTCCCACCCCATACTGATTCTCTGCCCGACGAAGGAGGCGGCGGTGGGGGAGGGGCGATGCAGAAAGGAATCACGCAGGACCAAGAAAAAGGGGGTAAGGTCTGAACTCGGCCGTAAACCCGCCCTTTGTACCAAACCGCTATCGAGATGACCTTACTAGCGGGTACCCACAACCTCCACCCCGACCAATGCTCAATAGGCACCCACTGGTGATTGGCTGGATCAAGTCCAGGGGTCCAGGAGGGGGTCGTGGTCGGGTCGTCGACCGGAACCAGGGCCAGGAACCAGCGCACTTCTGATGCTCTCGGAACTGCAAGTCGGCTCCAACAAAACACGCGCTCGCCCGTGCGGATGGTATGGGCGAAGGCTGAGGAGGGGCAGGGGGGGGGGGAATTCCTCGAGCATGGCGGAGGAGGGAGGGGCCTTCGCCGCAGAGGAATGTGGCCGCAATTTCAAGTGCATGCATCAAGAGGACGCCAGACCGCTAGGCTTCAAGACCTGGAAAGTGACAAGTCTCTGCTTCCGCCCCTCCCCCCTCTTGCGCAGCCGCACCTCCCTCTCCCCTTCCCTCTCCCAGCCCGCCCCGCCACTTGTCAGCGGGCGCCGCACAGTCACGGGGGAAAGCGTCCCGCCCGCGGGCCTGAGGCGGACGTGGACATGTTTGCTCGCTGGATATTAAAAGCCGGCTCGCTTGCCGCCGAGCGCGCGATCGTGCGGGGCGGGGGGGGGGGGGATTGGGTGGGCATATGTGAGATCCGTGTAACCCTTCGCCCACGCCGAGAAACTTACGGAACAAAGCGTGTTGGTGTTTCAAGTGAGGGGCGGGAGATAGGGCGGCGCATCCTGTGCCGGGGGCGGGCCGGTGGCGGTGGAGGCGAAGCTGTCGGCCGGGTACACTAAAGCGTACACCCTCCCCCCCCCCCCTTCCCTCTCTTTCTACCTCGGCATGCCTCGCGGAGCCCTCCCGAGCGCTCTATCGTCTGCTGTGCGTGCCGTGCCGTGCCGTGCCGTGGCCATTCATAGCGAGCAATTTCTCTCCCTTTTGCCCCTGGTCGCGCTGCGGTGTGCCGTCAACCGGAGACGGATCAGCCAGGCGTGAGCCATCCACTTTTAAATTTGGACTCTCTCAACGCATGAGCCAAAAAACAACCAAAAACGATCATTGGGTATTTTGGGGCATTTTCATGCGGTTAATTCCGGGAAAGTCCATTGAATCTCTTGGTACTTTTTCCCGATTATTCCAACCAACCAGTGTGTTCGGAAATAACCTTTTCAAGCCAAAAAGGGTGCTTTCTGTAGAAAATCCGCCAAAACGGGCAAAATTTGTGGTATTGGAAAGCCGCGCGTCCCAGCAGCCCCGAGACCACAGCCGGCCCGGCGTGTCCCTGCGACCTGACCCGACAGTAGAGCAGTGCCAAGCCGGCCAAAAGAACAAGAAGTAAAACGAAAGGATTATCGTGGACACGCTCTCCCGTTCCGGTGGTGCGGTGCGGTGTGGCGTGGCGACCCGGCATCGCTCGCCCCGGGCCCGGCCCGGCCTCGACTGGGGTCGGATTAATCTGATTCCGACCCACCCCCTGCCCCCTCGGCTGCCCCCGCGTGGGGCTCGGCTGTGCCGCCGCTACCCGGGGCGAACGGGGAAACGCCGAGTTTAAGCGGACATGAAGACAGCTGCCATTCAGCCAAAAGGTTTGAGGGACGGACCCGATCGGCCGCCGCCAAAGCTCCTTTTCCTGCAACTTTGGCTTCTCCATCACAAAAAGAAAGAAAAGTGCCACTTCCAAAAAAGAAAGAGCATCGTTTGACGGCGGGGCGGGAGTAGCTCGCCGCCTTGAAAAGGAGATGAGTACCTTTCCACCAGGACTTTCCTCGCACAGCCAAACCCATTTACTTCTCTGTCCCGCTGCCGCCGCAGCATCTTCTCCTCCTTGTCCGGCTCTCTCCACAACGCAAGAAGTACACGGAGCAGCCAGCGCGGTGGCGGGGCGCTGGCGGGGCGCTGGCGGGGGCGGGGCGGGCTCCTGAAGTGGGAGTAAAAGCGCTGATGCCTCAGGCGACCGGGGGCGCCGCGCCGCTCTCGGTGCTGTCGCCACACTTTGGTCAACCGCAAGGAGCGGTATGGAGGGTGAGGGGGAGAGAGAGGCCTCCGGTTCCAGCCGCACCGCCACCGCGCAGGGGAAGGGGGAGAGCAGCTGCTGGAGAGCAGAGAGGGAGAGAGGGGAGGCAAATATCGCGATGTGTGCAGACCTTCCCACTTCCCGTCTCGCGAGTGGCGGCGTGTTTCTGCTATGGTCCCCGCCCTGCCCCCCGTGCCGACGTGTCGTCTGCTGCCCCGCCCTTCGCCG